TTCCAACTGGAACAATAAAAAACGATAAGGGACCTAGAGAGCCATCACACACCACGGGGTTAACAATACGCTGAACGGTGCATCGACCTCGTTCCACATACACTCCAAGTACCCATTATCATTTTTCGGCTGATTGTTCTCTTATTCTCTTGTATTAAAAATTAATTTTTACGATTTACAAACTACGGTTAATAGCTTCAATCAAAAAACGTAAGAGACCTTTTTCGTTGAATTTTGAATCAGTTGGTTAATAAGAGAGGAACCTTTGAAATTTAATTTTCTTAATAATTGAGCAAAACCGATAAAAACGTAAGAAAAAGTTTAATCTTTTTTCAATTTTGTTATTCGTTGTAATTCAGTTAAAAGTATTTGTAGATAAGTACTTGAAATTTGGACACAATACTTTTATTTGACTTTTCTAGATATGGTGAAATTTATATTACATTTTAGCCATTTTTGAGCTATTTATAGACATTTTAATTTTGAGAGCATTGTTTATTCAGTAATTTTTATTCAGTAGGTACTCTGTGGTAAAATAGTTGGGCTTAACAGAAATGCTTGAAAATTTAACAGGAGATTCATTAAAAGTCCTACATTATAGTCAAAAATGAAAATTTAAGTTTAATGTAGTATTTTTTTTTATAAAGGAATTTTAATATCAAATTTTAATGAAAATTGTTTGAGTAAGAAATTATATTGAATAAATCTAATTTTTTAATTTTTTGTTTTGAACATATGTTTATTGCTTGCTAATTTAAGAACGATAAAGAAGTCAGAATTAAAAGGACTAAGTTTTGAAATTATAGCTTTTTGAAGTTTTGATATTATGTGGATATTATATGTTAAATAATTCTATATTGTCTTTTAATTGTATATGTGTCATAGTCTAATGGTCATAAATACCTATTATTATTCTAGGAGTTGCGGGTTCAACTCTAGGTTTCAAAAAATTATTTGCATTTATTTTAGATTCTTAGTGGAGCGAAGAAGCTTTATAAAGATGTTTTTTTTTTATCTTTGCGCAAATTTTCTACCAGAAGACCTGCTTTGATTTCTACATGTAGCATCTTTTCTGAAAGAAAATTGACGTGGGGAGGTACTTTAAGAAGGTCATTTTTTTTATTTTTCCAAAGTTTTCCCAGCAAATATGAAAAACCGGGATAAAACATGGGAAAACCGAGAAAAACGTAGGAAAATTGGGAAAATCGTTACAACATTAAAGACATTTTATTAAAGAAAATATATAAAATCTATTTAATAATTTTTTTTTTTCTATAAAATGGACATATACATTGTTGACAAAGCATCACTATCAACTGAACTCCGCTCAGAATCGTTTTTTCGTTAGCAATGGTTTATCGTTGCTTACAAATATACAATAAATTCCCGTCTATATTCTACCTTCCCAACTTCTCACCTACATCAGTGGCTGCATTCGTCCCCATTATCTTACCTTTTTTTTTTTGAAAATTATTATATTACGTATTATATTAAATATAACATTTTTCAATTCTATTGGTTATATCTGCTAATATTATATTATAATAAGGACGGAAGATAAAATTCTGCAATCACGTACAATTAACATGGTATCTGGTTGTAGTCATAGACAATTAAAAACAAAATGTTCACGAAACAAAATAATAATATAATGCTATTGAATCTTTTCAACTGTTACAACAGCTATAACTCTATATAGTAAAGGATGAGGCAATTCCTTAAATATTATATCCGAGGGAATTTATCCCTATCGAGATTTTTTTTTTTCCATATTCTAGTGTTCCGATATTATATAGGAACCTAAAGGTGAAAATAAATGGTTATTGGTTTTCGCGTTTTCAATAAGATATATAACAATGTTATTGAAACCAATTGGTATACTTGTAAGTTTTTCAAAAAAATGAACTATTTACCTTAAACAGGGAAAACAAATATATTTTAGGTGTAACTTAACCGAACTATTTTAATCGAAAAATACCCCTCGATTTATTATGCAAACGTTTATTTATTATTTACCAGATATCTTGCTCCAGTGTATCAAGTGTATCACTTTCTGAAAGAAAATTTTATCTACATGGCACTTTGAGCTGATCATTCTTTTATTTTTCAAGTGGTTTTATAATATCTGGGAATACCCAGAATGAAATGTCGATAAAACGGAAAATTTTACAAAAATAGTTCATTTATAATTCAGTTAAAAATATTGGTACTTGGTAGTGACTTAAAATTTGGTTGGAAAACTTATATTTGCCTTTTCTAAACGTGGTAAAAGTGTACAGATATTTAAGCCATTTTTGAGCTTTTTACATACATTTTAATTTTGTAAGTAATTTTTATTTAGTACGTACACCGGGGATAAAATTGTTGGACTAAACAGAAATGCTTCAAAATTGAAAGTTAGAATTGGAAGTTCATTAGAATTCATACTTTGTGGTTAAGCAAAAAAAATTAGTTCAATTAGTTTATAATTTATAAGAATTTCAATACCAAATTTGACGAAAATCGTTTTAGTAAAATATTATGTAGAAAAAATCTAGTTACTCGTCCAAAGAATTTGTTTCAATATAATTCAAGAGAATTAGACTTTTTTTAAAAATTACTGATACTCATAGGGTAGCGTAGCTATTAATCTGAAATCCTGATATAAATATAAATAGTGGGATAGTAATTGCTACACTTCGATACCCTGTCATGATGCCTATGGTCACATCCATCAGCGGGAATAAAGAAGACCGAAATATTTTTTAACTAATACCTACATTTTCCCGTTTTTCCTCCGTTTTTTTTGGTTTTTCACATTTTTTATGAAAAATCGCAAAATAACCTCTTTAAATTACCACCTTAGTGAAATTTTCTTTTGGAAAAATTTTTATCATTACAAATTGGAATAAAATTGCTGGTAAAAAAGTTGTCCACAGAAAAAAAAATCATAAAATATTACTAATATATTTCGTACATTTTCTCGTTTTTTACATTTAGCTCCACTCAGAACCTAAAAAATGTAAATAAAATGTGTAGTTGCTTATTATAAGTATCGTATTAAAGGGATTGTGGGGATATTGCCTCTATGGGTCTAGGATGTGTCTATAATTTTAGCATCCATAACGTTGGTGGTCTAGTTGCGCCAATGTCACCAACTATAATTGTATACCATTACATAGTTATATCGTAACTACACAAATTATTAAATGAATATATAGAGTGTACCAGAAAAGACTGGCCAACCCTGGTTTGTTGTAACAAACCAAATAAAATAATGTATTATATGACTTGTCTATAAGAATAAGCTTTTTAAAAAAAAATGTTTACTGTAAAAACTTTGGTTTTATCGGCTTATTTGTAAAATACCCATACAAAATAAAAATAAACCAAACCAGAGAATTTCTTCCAAAATGATCTTAAAAAATAAGGAATCACTTGATTTCTTCCAGAAATAATCATTATCATCGCTTTTTTAGCTAACTATGTCTAAAATCGTTAATTTGGTGTGCCACATGAATTTTTATATATTATCTATATTTGTCAATGGAATAAATTATTTTTTATTTAAGTGCCAATTTAATGACTCTATAAAAAAAATACGACTAATTCGACTGTAAAAAAAATACATATATTCAGTAGTTTTTATGGAATATTTGTATTATTAATTATTAGATAATAAATAAATTATTTACAGTAACACACGCATAGAACTTGTACATCACTTCAATTACTTAGGAAGTAATATAACGGAAGATGACCAAAGTAAATATGACATTCTACAAGTAGTATATCACAAGTAAAGAGGGCTTTTCAGAAATAAAACAATCACTTATTAATTACTAAAAGTGTGCTATGGAGGTAAGGGAAAAGTTCTTAAAAAGTTGTCTTAGGATAATGGAAACAGGTGCAGCCACTGTTATAGGTGAGAAGTTGAAAAGGTAGTAGAGGAGAAATTGAATGTATTTGTACGCAACGATTAACTATTGCCAACGAAAAAACAAGCGGAGTTCAATTGATAGTGTTGCTTTGTCAACAATAAATAAGTCATGTTATACTAAAATAATTACATAACATGCATTTCAATATACTTTCTTCAATATTTGTTTAATATTGTACCTATTTTGCCGTTTTTCCTATATTTTTCTCGGTTTTTCAAATTTATTAGGAGAACTTCTAGGAGAATCAAAAATGACTCTCCTAAAGTACCTTTCTAGTTACATTTATTTTTAGAAAACGCTATCATTGTAAATCAGAGTAAATTGTTTAACTAATTAACTAAAATAGTCTTTTTTAATAAGTATTTATAATTTCAGGTTTTTTCTGGCAGGCATTGTTAATGTTGTGTCTGAAGGTCACTAGACACAGTGGTTCATTAAGCGAGCACACTCTATTTTTTTTTGGTTAAATTTTGAATGCGTTTTAATTCTAATTTTTGCGATTTTTAAGTGTGGTTAAATTCGACATTTTTGAATACTTAGATTTTTCAAATGACGAGATATTTCGCTTTTACATTTAGATAAGAGGAGAGTAGTGAAGCATTAATTAAACTCAAGTGCCATGCCGTCACTCAAATGATACTCCAACATATGTTAATATGGATTAAATTGATTTATGAGAAAGTGAGAGACCATCTTCACAGCCATCTAGAAATTTTATCATACCCGTATGTGCTATTTCAGTTCAACTAACGGACAATATAGCAAAATCTACCTCACGCAGACTGCATAGAACTCACTTAATTTTGGTTTTAGAGTAAAATCACCTATTATAAAATTAAAAGAAGATAATATTCTGAAGGGCAAGATGATGCGTTTTTCTTATTATTCTAATTATTTAATATTCCGAATATATCGTTTAAAAATAAAGATTAATTCATCGTTTTTAAATGGCAGTCATATTTCAAAACATGAATTTAAAAAAAGAAAAGCATCAAACAGGACATGCGGGTATAACGACTTCATAATTAGTTTTGTCATATACTCTGTCCACAGCATGGCCAGTACTCACATTAATGACGAGTTTCCAGAAAAACCGGCTTTATACCTCCTGACAAATTTAGTAGTTTTGCATGTAACAAAGCGAATAAGGGAGCAGAGTTAAGTTGGTGATGAATGGCCATTATAATGTAAGCAATATATTTTTAATTTTTCTTTAAATTATAAGTTTATATTTTATAACGTACAATAATTTAATATTGTTAAACTATTACAATAGGTAAATCGTATATATATAATATCTATATAATATAATAATATTTGATTATGTCGAGTAAAATAGTATGATTATATTCGTATAGAGATAGATAATAGGTATTAAATTCGTCCAAGTCGTGTGACATCGACAGTATTATGAATTAATTAATTAATTATAGTGACTATATAATATTATAATAATTATTGTTGGATATCTATATAATATTATAATTGATTATTATAATTTATAGTGGATGTCGATAACTTCGTATAACTATATCGCGAATATTAAATAGGTAAAGATATACTTAATAATTGGTGTTTATAATATTATTATATATTTTTATAATTTTGCTTTTTCAACGGGGTTTAATATGCGCTTTGTTGCTGCATGGTCACGGTGGTGTCCGGCCCGGCTATGGTGTGCGCTTTCTTGACGATCGCCAATTTCGAATGCGGATCGAGTACGGCCAATTCACTGTACGGTGGGTCCCGCGTACCATGCAACATCAAAGTCCATTCTTTTAGGAAGCCCGTGTGCATCATGGCCTCTTCTGCCCGGTCAATATCCACGTTTCCGTAACGGCCCCTAGACGATGCGGCATCGGCCCACGCGGAACGCACTCTGGCCGCTGTGGATCCGGCGTTCGGTGATTTCCCGAATTGCTTTGTGTATCGATCAAAAGACGGTGTATTGAACTTTACCTATAACGTAGAAGAGAATCAGAGTACGGAGACTAAACAGATAAAGGAAAAAGGAGATCAAGGAGTTTCACTCGAATGTGTTTAGTTAGTTGAACAGTATTTAACGAAGAAAATATAAAATATAAATTAAGAATAATGTGTTAGAGATAGAAACAGATGGAAATTGTATGGACATGTTATTGACATGTTATGTGTATGTGTGAGAGGTTGATTATACACGATTAAGAGTGATACGATAACTGCTGAGGTATGTACAGTTAACGTGAGAGACCGAGTCAAACTAAGAACTGGCGTCACATTTAGATAAAGGGCAAGAGCGAGAGAGAAGAAGAAAACTTACGAGAAATGTAACTTAACATTTCTATATTATAATGGTGAAATATTTTGAAAATTGAAAAATTATGTATCATTTATATACCTCCAGTGTCCATTCGCCCCACGGATATTCACCCCACGTATGCGTTGTCATAAACGGCCACTTAGTAAATCCGTCCCTTCTATCATCGTCATTAGGTCTTCTACTTAATATCATCGATCTGAAAACATATTCAAATGATTCATTGTTTAGTATCATTATCATATTCAACGGTTCCCAAATTTTCGATTACTTTTTAATGATTAGGATATGATATAAGATTTGATATTTTTAGAAATTGTATTTTAGAATAATCTACCTTGTACCCATCGGAGATATCAAAAAGAGTTCAACATCACCTCGCCGAGTAGAATTCAGAGTAATTACCGCTTGAACATGTTCCAAGTATTTGACATGTGTATCGGTGCCTTTGCAAGCGTCAGTGTTCAATTTCAATATAATTCCAGACTTATTGGTGAATTTTCTGTAATGAAAATATTAAAAAAGATAATAGCATTTGTCACTTTAATCTATCAGCTATAATAATTTGATAAACATAAATCAGTGGCGTAGCTAGGTGAAGGTGAGTAAATGGTTATAAGTGTTTAGAAATTACATATTGTTAGTATTGTTAGATATAATTTACTAGATAATTAAATGAAGTTTACTGTACCATAAAATATGATTTTTTAATATTTTGCAAATACTAAATATTATTAATTTATATATAATTTAATTTTTACATAATAAATCTCCCCCCTCTGATTTTTTCTGGCTACGTCACTAAAAAAAAATAATAATTGTACAACGCGATTAAAAATTAATTTTTTTATGAATAACTATTATTTAGTATAATATAGTATATTATTTTGTATTGCGAAAATAACTAATTACATATTACATATAAATATAACACATATTGATTGTTTACCTAATTTTTGTATGAGAACCTCCTTGACAATGATATCTAGCGGGTACAGAATGCCACTGTTTAGCCAGGGAGACCATACCACCGGCGTCAAGAACACCAAATCCAAACAAATGATTAAATTCTAAACCCACACCGTTCATAGTCCACTGGAATCGATGTTTTGCGTCGAACAAAGAATTTCGTTTAGAAGTCAATACGGTTAAATGTTGTATATCTCTCCATGTCAAATCGGGACTGTTAAACGTAAGTAAATAAAAATATAAATAATATTATTATACGTGTGTATAACAAATAGTAAGGATAATGGCGAAGGAGAAGATACTTGCGTCAAATACTCAATTGTATCTAAATATTGTACCACGATATTGTAATAAAACAATAAATAAGTAAAATACAGAAACTATTAAATTTTAAATACATAATAATGCAAAACTTTCGTGGTTATTATTATTTATAGATTTAGATTCAGGTGCATATTATATATTACAATATACAGTTGAAAAAAGTCATGTATAGCATACTTTGCTTCTAGAGCTAGAGCAAACACGCCGGCAGCTTCAGGTGCAGCAGCTGATGTGCCGCTGTGTGACTTGGTACATTTTCCGTATAAATCAGTAGTTGCCTGAAAAAAACAAATTCTCAAGTTATTTACATTTCAATCATTATTAAATTATGTATTTAATTTGCTTAGTTGGTTTATTCGTTGTTAATTCGCTATTATATAACATTATTAAACCTACCTAACCAGAAAATTGAAGGTATAAGCAAATTAAATTAATTAAAGTTAATAATATTATCATAGTAATTAAGTTGATTTTATTCTTTTGAAACAATTTTTTTTCTTCAAATAAAAATTATTCGAAAATAACCTGATATTCTTATCTTTGAATACATTTTATAGTCTATAAAAAAATTACCTATTATCATTTACTTATAATATGTCTGTTCGATAATCCTATCGAACAAACATACATAATTTGTATAGCATTGAATGTACATCCGATTTATTTTTACAGTTTATTTAATGTCAGCTTAGAAATGGCCACCTGGCCACGAACACACCAACAGATGTATTTGTGTTGGGATTCTTTAGGACACAGGATTATATAAAATATTATTATTTAATAATTGGCTGCTTTTTTTGCAGAGATTAAATATATACGTACGTTGCACCCGTCTGGTTTATTAAAAAATCTGACTTTTTTTAGCACGTAATTAGCACGAATTTGCATGACTAAATTTATAACTCGCACGAATTTTTCAACGAGCAAATCCTATTACAAACTACAGTAAAACAATTTTCTGAATTACTATATTTAAAGTGAGTACTATATCCAATGCGAGGGTTTTTACACGTAACCCCTATAATAATGTTGTAGTACTATACTCACCACTCCAGTATTGGGATCCTTGGCCCCGTTGCTGAAAGTCGATGCTAACGTGCTCGAACAACTCTCATCATAATGCGCGTTCTGTCCGTCGTTTATAGCCGAATTTATCGATATCGTCCACATACTAGCAGCGTATCCATCGCAATTACAATCGTCAGCTTCTCCCCCGTCACCACTCGCCCACACGTAAATGTTTCCTTTACCGCGACGACCCTTAAATATTAAAACCACGTTTACTATCTATACTAAATATATTCAGATCACTTCAAAAATTAATTATAAAAACTTTCAAAAGTTCCCGTTTTTTTTAAATTTAAGTATGTATTTTAGTTTATTACATACTTCGTTGACACCGCGGACAATAGCTCGCATTGTGGCGTTACGTGGACCATCCACGGTTCGTCCATCGTCCGTGGGTCCCCAAGAAGCGCTGTAAATGTCGATCAAATCAGGTTCGTGGCCCATACTGTTCGCTTCGATAAGATCTGTCATATATGGTTGGTCGAGCATTCGGATACCTACGATTGATAAAATAGTGTGAAAAAATCATAAAAAGTTTTAGGAATTTTAAATTCATAATTTTAACGTATGACAAAGGAAAATTGGAGCATTTTTTAATTAACCAAAAAACTGTTTTCTGAAAAAAAAAACAGTCATTTTAATAAAATTAAGAGTTTTGCCATAAGGATCTAAAAAAAAAATCAAGAATAACAGAAACCGTTATTATGTATATTATTCCGTTTTTCGAAATGTGTTCCTGGTTTTTCCCAATTATTACGAAAACTACAAGGAAAATAAAAGAAAATAGCCTCATTAATGCACCACCTAGACAAAATTTGCTACTAGAAACCACCTCTAATAGAGGATAATCGCAGTATAAGATTCCTGGTAGAAAATTTGTTATCAGACAGTAAAAAAAACTAATAAGAGCTGTTACTGCTGATGGGTGTGCCGAAATTAAATTATAATAGAAAGTGTAATAAATAAATATGTCACTGTTGTAGGCAGGATGTTGGAACTTTTAAGAATGCGTAGTTCGTCTGTTATAGCATCAGACTCATTAATTAATATTCATATAAAGTTATAGAGTAATTTATTTATATTTGTACACAACAATAAATCGTTGCTAACGAAAAACGATTATGAGAGAAGTTCGGTTAAAAATATTTTATTTGAATGTCGTGATTTTTACGAATTTTATTAAAATTTGAGCTTTAAAAACTTGAGTAATAAAATAAACAATAAATGTCAATTTCTATTACATTACGCTCAAGCTATAAGATGTGTATAATTCCTTATTTAAGTATATATTATTAGATTTTGAGTAAAACAAGAAATGCATTATAATTTTAAACTTTTACTTTGATGACTGTGCCTTTTTTCCCCGTAAACCAGTCTTCGACCAGAATACTTGCTCCGATTATAACATAAATAACAATAATTTTTGTCCGATAAAAGGACAATAATTTACGACGTAATAATTTCATGATTATACATTTTAGATTCTAAACGAAGCAAGAAATGTGTTGGTTTTACAATAATGTTTATTTTTTTTTTCGAACAACATTTATAACAGACACTTTTCTCCAATTTTCAAGTTTAGCATTTCTTCTGAAAGGAAATTTGACATAGGTGTTACTTTAATTAAAGAAGTAATTTTTTTGATTTTCCCTGGGGTTTTCCTAATAAATAGGAATAAACGTAGGTAAAACTGGAAAATTTACTAAATATATTATACATTCAAATCGTAAGTATTACGGCCTTTTAAAACATGTATAATCGAACTCTGCTTAGAAATATTTCTTAAAATCGATGGAAATGGTTAATTTTTACGTACAAATATACATTAAATTTTCCTTCCACATTCCCAACTTCTCAGTGGCCCACCCATCATGTGAAGTAGGTTCGTTTTTTTTTTTTTTTAATTTATATTTCTACTAGAAATCTTGCTTCAATCAAAAAATGACAAGGGACCTTTTTCATTTTAGATTTAATTACTGATAAGGGAAACCATTTTTCGATTATTTAAGTAATTTTCATAATTATTGGAAAAAACTAAAAAGTACAAAAAATTAACGGCTGATAAATGTATGGCTTCGCGATTCCTTTATTTTAAATTTGTACGGCTTATGCTTTTTACTAGAAATATTGCTACATTAGAAAAACAATAAGAATTCTTATTTGTTGAATTTTTAATCTAGTTAACCAAGTATGTTATTATTATTTTGTATTTATATAGTAATCTAAAAATGACCAATACTATAGTTATATTTTGAACGATATTTATTTTAATACTGTAAGGGGTGGTATATTTTATTATAATTAAATTGTGTATATCAACGATTTTTAATCATACTTCACGACCCAAATTTGGGTTATGAATAATTTTTAGTAGGTTACCAACAACTTAAAACCTTAATCACATTATATTTTCATTTTAGACTATCTTTATAAAATAGTTTTAAAAATAATTAATGTAACATTATATATTTTTTTTCTTAACAAACGAGTATAAATGTATAAGTTTGGGCTTAAGTTTTTCAATGTTATAAATAATATACTTTATTGGTTGACATTCACGGAAACAATTGAATTTGACAAGTTGTTGATCCGCTACCGGCATTTGTTTTAATATCAATTGTCAATATTGTAAACTTCGTTTATATTACTTTAAAAATAGAGAAAAGGTAATAGTTTCTTTTAATTACGGTAATTAAAAAATTAAGCGAGCTGGTTAGCATAAGGAGCCCCCCATTGAAAATTGTTTTCAGAAAAAGATCGCACGAAAATCGGGAAAATATTTTGGGTCACCAACACACAAAGGTTGAAAACCGTAAATTGGGACAGCACCTAACTTGCCTCATCTTGCAAGTCACCGCTGTTTTTTCATTTAAAAAATATACATAACTTGTATTATTTTATACAATTTATATATTTACAGAAGATGTCTAAACACTTTACCGGCGATTTTGGAATCGTACGCCACACCAGTACCACAAACACCGTTATCGCGTGCTGCTGACACTTCCCCAGCACATCGTGTTCCGTGACTGTTAAACCAATCGTCTGTATACCTCGGATACGGGTACGGATCGTTTGAGCTAAAATCGTAACTGGCTCTCGCGTTCTATAAACGATTAAGTAGGTATCCATTTTATAATAGTTCATCACGGTGGCGTGTTGAACTATATATTTTATTATAAAGAGTCAGGGTTTTTTTTGTTTACCACCTACGCCATTAAGTTTATTTGAATATCCATACTAAATTATACCAACATTTGTAAATAGGTATAATATACGTAAATTATTATGATATATTAAAATATCCCTTTTCATTAAACTTTATGTTTATAAAATGTTTAATTAGTTTTCAAGTAGGTATTCACACTATTAAAAAATATATCCGATAATTATCAGTTTTGTCTTACCCACCCACCTAAATTTTGATAAAACCGTGGCTCCTCTAAAACATAGTTAACACGCCATATAGCGAGTTCATATAAAAGTGTCATTTTTCAATTTATATAACACTGTACCAATCGAGTCTAGGTATACAAAATCATAATTTGAATATTTTTCTACATAATTGTAATATTATTTATTGCATACATGTAATTAAATATACACTATAGATATTTGTATAATTTAAGAATTATCCTCACGTAATTATATTTCAAGTCTTCGTGTGTATAATCCACTCCTGTAGGTAAGTACATGAAAAAAAAAATAAAAATGAGAAATAAATAAACTAAACAGTTATTTTTAAACTTTTGTATGCAACAGTTGCAATGTGAATATAAGTCTATGATATTAGAATGGTCCATAGTTGTTTGCAATTTTGTTTTTGAGATTTGTATTCGAAATTTTTTTTTTTACAAAAACATGGGTCTCTAAAGTCCCCTGTTTTGATTTTAAATTATTGTTTATTCGTTTTAGGATGCAAATAATCCAACAATATAAAATATAATCGTCATCTTACTGTGATATGAAAATATTAAGTACCTATTCTCATTCATATTATTGAGGGGGGGGACTTAAATGCGACCGAACTTAACTTTAGTAACATGAATAATTGTATTTATTACTTAAATACTAGGGTTAATTTTAAAATATTATAGCTTTTTAAATTGAATAGCTTAGATAGTTGAATATCTTCTTACCGTCGTCCATTATGGCAGTAGTTACGTTTTTACCCGATACTCCTTGTGCCCAAGCTGCTCGTACATTCAAATCCAACTTCGGTTTACCGCCGTTTTGTCCTGTATTCCTTAGATACCACTGTTCCTTGAACAACGGATCCTTTGGTAATTGACCATAACGTTCTTGGTCTTCGTCGATTTCAACCGCTTTGTCAAAATAACTGTTAAATTTATTTGCTAAGAATTCGTGTCTACTCAAATACGAGTACATCGACGGCATTAAAGGCTTGTATCCACGTTTCACTCTCTTAAACCCTGGTTGTTGATGAACAGACTTCACCTACAAAATATTATTTAAATGTATAGCGTATGTATGTGTACGTGCACACTACATTTTGTTAAAAGACAGATTGCAAAAGAAGCCTCGAAAACAAATAAAAACCTATAGGTAAATAAAATATTAATTAGTATATACTGTGAAAATACATCACTTACAGACGGGTCTTTCTTCAAAAGTAAAACTGACGGTATGGATCGGCGTCCACGTATTTTTGGTAACCCATGATGCACAAATTGGAATTCATCTTTGGTACCACGGATCTAAAATAAAATATTAAGTATTTAATATAGTAATATAATAAAATATATTTGTTATTTGTATTATCACTTATAATACTCAAAGGTATAATAAAATAATAAGCGTATCGGGGTTAAACATTTTAGATTGTTAAGTGTTAACAAACGATTACCACCATAGTTTAAAAACTATACAATTACAATTTTAATCTGCGTGGCATAATTAAGAATTTATTACAAGTGAATATTAAACACGTCCAGAAATCAAATTCTAAAGCAATGTTAAAAAATTGTTATTGAGGTGTGTTCCGGAAGATAATGATTAAAGATAAAATTGAATAGGCATATTAATTTGGATATATTCTAATCGGTTCCCGAGTTCATATCACACATGCCAAATTGATTCTCGTTTCAAAAAGGTATTTTATGAAGGTGAACCGAATTGGTTCCCGTTTAATACCTACATTTATGCAATAAATGTTGATATAATATAATACATTTTAGATTCTCAGTGTGGCAAAGAATGTATTGGTTTTACAATGACGTTTATTTTTTCATTATAATTTTTTTTTTTATTACTATAACAAAAATTCTGTAACCAGAAACCTTGCTCCGATATGTACGTGCATAGGCGTACGCACGGAGGGCGCAGGTGGACCCATGGCCCCTCCTGCGAGTCAACCTGTATCACAGAGTGACATTTCTTACTTGTTACTTTGTAACTTTGTTGAAGGAAGTTGTGTACGCCATGCAGTTTATGAAAAAATAGTCAATTTCACAAATGTAAAGCTTAAAACTTTAAAATCAATATCAACTACTAGATGGGCCGGTCGCTTTGAAGCTGTAAGTTCCATGGAATTTAACTACTCTTCTCTTCTCATTTCTATTGATAAAATAATTAATTTTACTAATCAAGCAGATATACGAGCAAAGGGTTCAGGTAAACTTACTCATATAAAAAGTTTTTAATTTATATTTCCCTGGAAATGCTTGACCCCATCCTTACTTTAATATTGAAAACCAGTTCATAATTACAATCACTTAATATATATTTTTAATGGCAATGTAACTTGTTGAAATCTTAAAAAATCACTCAATTCAATAAGAAACAACAGTTCATATTTTGAGAATTTTTTTAACGATTCTGCCAAATTGTGTGATGATAATAAAATTGAAATTTCAGTAACTAGACAAAGAAAAATTTCTAAAAAAAATAGATAGCTTAAGTCAAACACAAAACAACTTTAACACAAAAGAAGATGAAATGAGACAAGTTTGTTATACTACTTTAGACAATATGATTGTTGCTTTAAATATTAGGTTTAATCAAGAAACCACTCAAATGATAAAAAATGTCGCTATGTTATTAAGTCTTCAAATTAGTTATACAAATATTAACTTGTTAAAGGAATCATTTAATATCGACAGTAAAGTACTTAAAACAGAAACTTTACCTTTTTACCCAGAAACTTTTTGAAAATTTACAAAAGGATTAAAATGTTAATATTGATAAATTTATTAAATGGTTATAAGAACCTAGTTGTGGAAGAGAAAATATATTTATTAATTTTTTCAAAATACTGAAAATATTTGTTGTCATACAATCTAAGCATAATAAAAACAAATGTATGTAGTTTGATAACACAAGAACATTTTGATGGTCTGTTAAAAATGTTCATTGAGCAAAAATTAGCTTATAACTCCAATATTGATGAGGTGATTGAGCAGTTTAAAATTTTAACTTCAAAAGATAGAAGAATGGAGTTATACATTTGTAAATTTTAATATGATTAAATTATTATAATTTATAATTAACTGTAAATATAATTATTTTTTTGTAATTTTTATAATTATTTTAGATTTATTATAAGGAACAAAATTAATGCGTTTATATGGAATTTTTGTATAATCATTTTTTTCCCTACCCTTCTAAAAACATATGGCTCGTTTGAATTTTATGTTCATGAATTATTAATTCATGAATACTTAATTACCTTTGGGGACTAATGACTTTTCCTTCCCTCCTCAAATACGCCCTTGATACAAATTCAAAATTGGCTTGGCTAACCCTGCCACAAAGGACTGCACACGTCTGTGTGTACGTGTGGCTTTTTTTCTAAAAGTTAATTTTTTTTTAATGGTACTATAAAAAGCTCATTTTTTGATATTCCAGGAGGTTTTCATAATATTTGGGAAAACCTGGAATGAAACATAAGAAAAATGAGAAAATATATGAAAATAATGCTTGTATTATTTTTAATTTTGTTATTTATTACAATTCAGTTGAAATTTGGACACAAAACTTGTTTTTGCCTATTATAGACATGGTGAAATTTTTAAAACATTTTAGCCCTTTTTAAGCTATTTAAAGACAGTTTAATTTTGAGAGTTTTATACGTAATTTTTATTCAGCAGGTACTCTGTAAATAGAATTTTTAGACTTAACAGAAATGTTTGCAAATTTAACAGGAGGTTCATTAAAAGTTATACTTTGTGGTCAAAAAAGACAAATTTGGGCTTAATGTAATATTTTTTTTTATAAAGGAATTTTAATTTCAAATTTTGATGAAAATCGTTTAAGTAAAAAATTATGAGAAACAAAACTAGTTACGATCTATGAAAACTTTTCAATTTTGTTTTGAACATTAAGAACGATAATGAGTCAGAATTAAATGGACTGAATTAGTTTCGCAATTATAACTTTTTGAAGTTCTGATATTATATGTATTTATATGTTAAATAACTCAGTATATTGTCAAATGTCAATAGTATTGTCGTAGATAAATAGTTGTACGTACTTGTCATTCCAGATGACAAAAGATCGTATTTTTCGTCTTTTTTGGTTTTTCTCAAAAATTATGAAAAATATTTAAGAAATTGAAGAACAGCTATTCATTGACAATGGCTATATATTAAAAAGAACAAAATCGAACTCCTGTTATTTTTCGATGATCATTATATGTATAGAAATTTAAAATAATGAATTCAATAACGCCGCGGCGGCGCACCGTAAATATTTACCATTTTACTTATAATTTTCTTTCAAGTTTTTCCTTATTATTTTGAAAATCCCTTAGAAAATCGACCTTCTTTAGACCTCCTTAATGCACCAACAACAGAAAATTTCCTTTCAGAAAATGTGCTACACTGGATACTTTGGAGCAAGATTTCTGGTAGAAAAGTTGTTCACAGACAAAAAAAATATAAAATACAAACAAAATATGTGTTTTATTTTGTTTGTATTTTATATTTTAGTAAAACAATTAGATCCCTCGCTATACTCCTAAAGTGTGTAGCGGCTATATTATGATATTTATTTATATTCGTTTTTAATTTTACATGTTTTGCACTTTTAATAATTATTATTTGAGAAAAAAATATTCGAAAATATATTTTTATTAAAATTTTAAATAACATCAAGTTAACTCGTAAAATATTGACAGTAATTACATATTATTTCAAAGATAATTAAGGCACAGAATCTATTATATAAACTTTTATTATCGATGTTTAATTCATAGGAAATATGCTATTAAATTAAAAAATCAAATATGATCATGTGTGTAATTAATATTTATTATATTCATGATGAGTAGATTGTATTAGTTATATATTTATAAAACTGTTTTAAGTTAATTTTTAAAAAGAATATTAATCATATATATATATATATATATACATAACGATTTCATAGTGGGGAAAGGGGTTGATGATATCTATGATATAGTATGGTAAGATATGAAGTGTGCAGTACGAAAAAGTATATATTTTAGCCTCCGGGCTGAGGTAATATTATATAACCGATGTTCCTGTTTCTCTCACGCTCAGGCACGCTTATTGATTTGCAATAGTAAAATTAATAAAATGTACTCTCTAGTGCGAAGTTTATATGCTGCTTTTCTTTTAATTTTACTGAGTAAACAAATATAATATACAAACTTAATATAATAATATTATGTAGGTAATCGTCAGAATACATATAAACGTATGTACTGACAATAACATGATGATGAATGATGATAATTAAAATACATACAACACGCTTCATAATCCGGTTAAATATTTAATTCAATCCATAACACAAATTACTCAAGCAAGTTTGCTAAAGGACTAAGGAGATAATTATTGTAGAATAAACGAAAATATATTAGGAATTCATGACGTCAGTTAATAATAATAATATAGTATTAAGTTTCGACTAAATAATCGCTAAAACTATACTGATTCCAAATAATAACGGTAATCAATTTTGAGCTACTACTAATAATAATATTTGTATCATATTTTATACATAAAAGACGAAAAGCAATTGGCTTTTTAAATGATTAAATCTGATTAGTTTCGTGCTTATAAAATTAGAATATTTGTTGCTCAAATTCATAAATGAGCGTGTACGGTATACCCTATAGTTTTACACCTTATAAGCATGATCCCGGGAAATACCGAGTAAATCAGCAAGTTACTAATAAAATAATAATCAATGCACATTTCCAATATTTATTTAACATAGTACAAATAATGTATTCTATAAAACATTTTTTTTCTTAGTTAAATATTTGTTTAGCTAAGTCCATCCCAGCCATTAAAAAATCTTGGATATGCCATTGGTCATTGACATTATACAGTAATACACATATATTAAGTATTTTAGCTAAAATATTTACCCACTCTTAAAAGAAAATGTGTATGGTAGATACTATGGAAGGGATGTTAATATAGCTATTCGGTGATCTGCTACTTGAAATAACTTTTGTTCAATTTAATATTTTTAAAATATTTTTTAGATTCTGAGTGAAGCAAGGAATGTATTGGTTTTACAATGATGTTTATTTTTTTATTTTTTTTCTATGGACAACTTTTCTACCAGCAATTTAGCTGTAGTTTACAAACGTAGCACTTTTTCTGAAAGTATATCTGACTGGGATAGTACTTTAAAAGAGTTATTTTTCGATTTTTTTAAAAGTGTTCTCAATATATGGGAAAAAATATAAGAAAACCGGAAGAACAAGAAAATAGGTACAATATTAAACAAATATTATTAAAGAAAATGTTTAATGCACATGTAGTTATTTTACTATAATATGACATATATATTGTTGACAAAACAACACTATCAACTGAACTCCACTCAGAATCGTTTTTTTTCGTAAGCAATGGTTAATCTTTGCTTACAAATATACATTAAATTTCCGTCTATATCTTACCTTCTCAACTTCCCACCTACAAAAGTGACCTACCCATCGTGTGAAGTTGTCCGGCTTTTTTATTTTATGTTTCCCCAACTAAAATTGTTTAATAGAATTATTTAATTAAACAATTATTTTAAATGGCGGATCATCGTAAGAAATTCTGTATGTTTATTAAGAATTTTCTAGGCAGTCCGCCTCCGCCCTTCCATATGTTACTTAATACTCATACCTTACACGTGCGTCATTTCGATAATATAATACACTCAATGAATTCGTTTCAGCGAATAAATCGATCAAATAAAATATATAATAACTACCTACATATTGACAATAACAGTGGTGGTCAAACCCTATAGGGCGGAGGAACGGGTAGGCTGATATTTTTACATTTTAGATTTTGAGTGGAGCAAAGAATATATTGATTTTACAATGAGGTTTATTTTTTGTTTTTATCTTTGAACAACTTTTCTTCCAACAAATTTTCTTCAATTTTCAATTATAGCACTTTTTCTGAAAGGAAATCTGACTGGGTTTGTACTATAGGGAGATTATTTTTTGATTTTTCAGCTTCATAATAAATGGAAAAACCTGGGAAAACCGTATAGGAAAAACAGGAAAATAGGTACAATATTAAACAAATATTATTAAAATACAAAATATATAATACATATGTAATTATTTTAAAACAATAATATTGCATATATATTGTTCACAAAGCAACACTTAACCGAACTCCGTTAAAAATCGTTTTTCGTTAACAATGGTTAATCGTTGCTTATAGATGTACATTAAATTTCCCCTCTACCTTTCCAACTTCTCACCTACAACAGGTTACCTAACCTAACCATCAATATCCTATATATATAGCCATATAGGTCATAGGTGCACATTTTTTAACATGGTAGTTGATTTTTGTGGACATTTTAGTTGTTAATAATAAATTATTTTGCATTTCACATCATTCAAAATTTCATCATTTAATAGTGGAGATATAAGTTTCTATATTTTATCATTTTAGTTTATAGGTATAAATCGGATTTTGGAATTTTTTGGGGTATTTAAATCCCCCCCCCCCCTCTCTTATTATAAAATTAATAATATTATTTGAAAAATGTTGTATTCGTGTGTACTCATCGAATGCACATTCCATATTAAATCACACCAAAATATCAATAAAAGACCGTTTTTCACAAACATTAAAAAAAATAATATTCTTAAAATTATTAGAAGAAAAAAAATATTTCACAATATTTATAAATAATATAATGTAGAAATGAAGGGTCCCGAGAGAATATTTAATGACAAACATTCAATCAATTTATGTCAATCCCTTCTCAATCCATATACTATATATATTACATGAATTGAACCCTCTGTCATTTTATAAAAGCTTTTACCAGTAGCCATTAAAATATATAACAACGTCATTTATATTTCCACCACATCCTAACGTCAATCGCAATCAATAACCTAAAACCTTGACTGCGGGTACAGCCACCCTACATATCTCATGAAATATAATACTGAAAAATCCAATAATATATGTATGAAATAAGTAAAAAGGAAAAATAGTTTAGGTTAAGTTTTTTGTTTATATTTTTCATTTTATAAAAGATGGCCAGAGATGAGGGTAGATAAGAAGTTCAGCCTTAATTAATTGTTTAAGAAAAATATATAAATATTATGTTTTTACAAATAACCAGTGGTTGAATTAGTGAAAAGAGGACACTAGGGGAACTGAGTACCTACCTCTTATTTTCTAAACATATTTTAACATACTTCTTCAAATATTTTATAATAGACACATTTCGGGTGTTAACAAAAATCGACAGAGGGACGTGATTAAAAATTTACTGACTCCAAACATAAAATTTTCTGATTTCAAAAAATGTGTGAATTCAATATTTTGTTCATTGATAAGTAAATTAAAATAAATTTGACGATAATAATAAAAAAGTAATCATATATGTAATGAAATGTTTAAAAAAAATAATATATTAGTTTTGTCAAATTTAAAACTAAATTATTGTTTTATTGCCGACTCAATAGTAAAAATGTTTTGGGAGGAGGTGTCACATACTACCTTATAACTGGCTCGAATAGACATTATGAACATAATATATCCTACCCATTATAGATATGATAATTAAATTTTAAATTACGCATATTTGTTTTATACACTTTTGTCTCTCACTTCTAAATTATTTTTCATGCAAGCACTACAGCAGATAACCTAACTTAACTTTTGTATTAGGTATACCACCTTAAGTCCCAGTTCCAAAATATTATTTTCAATAATTTATCTACTCTCTTCTTAAACGCTAATCATACACTATGGAATAATTTATAGGGGATCGACGTTTCCGAATATCCCATAAATGATGATACGGTAGGTATGGAACGTCCTAAATTGAGTTGATCTGTGCGAAAGAACAATCCGTCACTGCCGTATACGCTCTGTATAAATATTTCTCGAAGCAGGTAATTTTGTTATATTTTTGCACAATAAAATAATATTATTATACCTATATTGCTATGTTCAACCGTGTAATATGATACTTTATTCGTTTTCTCCTATGTATAACACACGAATATATGTTTGTATAATATGATTAGGTACGTGAGTATATAAGAAAGTTCTCCGAAATTAAATGAAATATAAATTACGCTGCTGGTGATGACGTCAGCGGAACTCTATGGGGAAACAGAGAGGCGTTTAACTCCGCTCGTCCACCTCGGGTACAAAGGCCGTTACCGCCGCCACCCGCGGATTCGTACCTCCACCAATACAGGGTGTTCATTGTTTATTACGATCCGGCGATTATGTTCGCAGATTTTGATTAAAATTCAGTTTTAATAGACTCGCTTAACGATCTTATATTTACAAGATTTTCAAAATGTCCTCAGTTCTACCATTATACCGTACATCGTAAGGACATATGAACTTTTGATTTTCAAATATATTTCTCTTCCCGTTTTAAAACTGGATTCCTAAAGAGAATACTATTGACCAAGAATGCTGATATTATATGCGCTTAAAACAGCTAATATCGGATTACCAGTTTAAACTGTTAAAAACGGTAAGTAGGTTAGCCGTGTTATATGCGCCAATCGAAATGTTTTGGGAATATATAAATATATATATATATTTTAATCCGCGTAGAAAACAGGGAGGCAGGAATGTTGGAGGGAATGGGTGCGGCCATTTGATAGTCAAAAGTTTTAAAAGTTAATACTAGTTTAAGATGTAAGAAGAGTTTATAGGGGTACACGTCTGATAGTAATTATAACGTTAAAATAAAACATAAGCAACTTCGTAACGATTGAAACTGTACTAAAAACCCGACGAGAAAATCGTTAGATCGTGATGAAAATAAAAAAATCACCCTGTATACGCGTTGTACAAAGTTTACTGAAAAAGCGGCGGTGGCCGCGGTGAAGTGGCGGCGGCGGCTGTTGTACCTACCCCGTTTTCCACCCACGAACGACGGTCGCCAGCAGCCGCGGTCGATATATTATTATTATTATGACACGCACCGTCGTCGACCGTATAGATTCCGAGCGCCCGCCCAACCACAATATTTAATTTAAAAAATACACCTGATGCTCGGTCACCGCCGCGGCTATTACCGTTTAATATAAATACGTTTACAGGAAGAATGCGAGGAAAACTTGAACGAAATTAATTCGGCACTAGCCCGCGGAGAGGTTTATCTCTCTCTCTCTCTCTCTCTCTCTCCCTATCTCTCTATCTCTCTCTCGTATACAACTAATAGTTACTGCCATCGTATATTACAGTATATATATACGTAGGTATATTAGTGAATCATATTTTTTTCATTTTTAAATTATAAATGAAGGATTTTTTAAATTTTTATACCGCCGAAGAAAAACGCTCGCAACCGCAAAACGCTACACTAATATTATAGGTATGAATTAATATATTTTGTTATGTATACCTTTCCGACGTTTTGGAAACCGATGCCCGCCCTTTTGGCCACTTGATGGGCCACCGCCTCGTCTACGTGACCATTTGCGCCGTCCGGGCCGTGAAGCTTGACCGAGAACGTGTTGGTGTACAGCTGGCTGCCGGCCACCATACGGGACGCCGGCAAGATGGAAGTGGCGACTAACAAAAACGCGCACCAAAGAACGGCCATCGTGCTGAATGTTAACGCCTTGGCGGAAAACTCGGAGCGGTCCGCCTTGCGTTCGCGGTTATAGCGGCCACCTTTGTCCAAATCGCCTTCGCGCGACAAGACCATTCGGTTACAGCCACTCTAAAAATGGTTTTTATAATATAAAAACAAACGTACAATATAATAACGCGATTAAAACGGCGTCGAAATTATCTATACTTATTAAAAAAATAATCGGACAACGGCTCGGGTACAGGTGTATGTACCTAATCGAATACACAAAATGCACCTACCTCGATATAATGTGTACGTGTATAATATAATATATGTATACATCGAAATAAACATACAATCAAAACGTTTAATAGAACGGCATATTATTTTAAAAAAATTATAGTTAACTATATAATATATGGAATAGTAATTAAATTTACCTGTATGTGTGCGAGTTAAACTGCACCTGCGCCTCTTGACGGTGGTCCGCTGCGGTGGTACGACGCAAACTGAAAGCAATGCGCAGGCATACAACGCGGCTGGCGGACGACACTGTGTTTTCGCGTTCAAATAAAAATGTATATCGAAAACTACAAGGTTGCGCTTTTATCCGCGCGGTGGCGCGTGCATTGTGTATTGGCGTCGTCGTCGTCATTGTCCTGAGCGGCGGCGGTTGCTGGGGTGAGCTTTTATTCGTGGGTGGGCGCCGGCGCGGAGCGCCGTGCAGAGAGCAATGGAAACTATCGCAGCCACCGCCACGCACTTAATATTGTATTACTATACAAGCGGTGTTTGGTATATTATTATATAATTTAGGGGCGGTCCAACTGTATGGAACTGTAGTGGAGCGATCGCTCCTGGTCCGTGGGAAAATGGCGGGTGAGTATACTCGATTATTTACTTGGTATATCAGATAATAAATACTATAATTTAGTAAGAACTCAACGATGAAAATACTGACATTGATGATGACGATAAAGACTCAAAATCGATCTCACAGACCATAACCTAACCGTATACCTTAGTCTACTTAGTTTTACATTTCCTAACATATTTTTTAGCAACAAAAGCTACTTTGTCTATTGGGTCGACATCTGCTATAACGAACATTTTCAAAAATGAAGTTAATAAGACCCAGATTAAGATCTACAACAAACGACAATAGATTGGAACATATTATGATGTTATTATCCTATGAAGATCCTAATAAGATTGATTTGGACCGATCCATAAATAGCATAATGGGAATGAGATTACAAAGTTACACTAAACAACTTATACCACCTTAAAATAAATATATTTTTATGCGGTACAATCGTTGATTTTCATCTCCGTTCTAATATCTTAAAGTTTTGATACACAGGACTGTTGAGAGAATAAATAGATGTTTTAGTGAAAACCTATAAATAGTAATGAATGTATAAAAAGTGGGTGGGTACTAATTAATTTTGCTCCTCAGGTACGAAATCTTGGGGCCACCACTAATTATATACGAAGGTATAATTTAAACGAATAGAATCAAATATTTTTTTTAGATTCTAAGTGGAGCGAAGAAGCTTATAGTTTTACAAAGATGATTATTTTTAATATTTTGTTTTTTTATCTGTGCGCAACTTTTCTACCAGAATACTTGCTCAGAATTCTAAGTGTGGCACTTTTTCTGAAAGTAAATTGGTAAGAGAAAGTACTTTAAGGAGGTCGTTTTTCGATTTTCTTAAGAGTTTTCTCGTCAAATTTGAAAAATCGAAAAAATACGGGAAGATATACGGAATATATTACTAAAATATTACGGTATATTTTTTTTCCTGTACACAACGTTTCAATCAGCAATTTTACTCCGACTTATAATAATAACAATGTTTTTAAAAGAAAATTTCACTAGGGAGGTACTTAAGAAAGGTTATATTTTGTTTTTCCCAGCAAATGTGAAAAACCGGGAAAAACGTAGGAAAACTAGAAAAATCGGTACAACATTAAACAAATATTATTAAAGAAAATACATAAAGTCTTTTTAATTATTTTACTATTAAATGGCATGTATAATATATATAGTTTACAAAGCATCCCTATCAACTAAACTTCGCTCAGAATAGTTTTTTCGTAAGCAATGATTTATCGTTGCTTATAGATATACATGGCTACACCCGTCCCTATTATCTTACCTTTCTTTTTTTTACATGTTTGTGTTTTCACAAAGACTTTAATATTACATTTTTATACAAGTGTCAAGTATTTACCTAATAGATAAATGGTTGATATACAAATTGAAAAAATGTCGTTTACTCTGAAATATCAACAAAACAAATTTCAAAAATTGTTTTACGCCATTCCCCCTGAACTTTCTTCCAATCTTTTAGATTAGATTAACCTGTAAATCGAATATATAATATGTATGCATTATGCACAATAATTCAATGCGAGTATCTATATATTATAAGTACTTATGCGTGTATAATCAGAAAACACAAACAAATATGATATACATATATATATGTAAGTAGGTATAATATTATGCATATTATTATGCAATATAAATATCATCAAAATATTTTGTTTTCCTTCTTCAATAATCGATTTTTTTTTTTTATAATGGGAACATTTTTCATACGTAGCCACGTGCGTGTTATATACTTACACCTATATATAACAGTCGCTAATAACAAAAAATAATGTCAAATTTCATATTAAGACAAAAAGACGTAATATATACAGATGGCAATGACGTAATAACTTATAATAATATCTTATACTAGATCCTAAACAGTTATTATTTGTTCTCAGTCATCACTTCCCTGTCGTCGACACCTTTTCCACAGACCTGTGGCGATTACCGAAGACAGGTAATTTAGTATATAATATACGAAAATATGATACATTAATAAATTCAAAAAGGACACATGTTCAAATTTTAAAATTGTTCAAAGAAGACAAAAAACTAATTATTAAGCTACAGGTTGCCAGAATAAATTTTCAGAAATCCGGAACACTAACGTTAATTATACACATTAAAAAAAAAAAAATTAAAACCAAGTAAATGTATAATTTTTTTCACCGCCTATTCTCTATATTTATATAGTGTAAACATTACACGTTAATAATTAGGCATTAAAAGAATTCAAGTCAATAAATGAAATATCATAATATCTTAATTTATTAATTTTAAATTTAGATTAATATTAAATATATAAGGATAAATATATTAAGGATATTAAGGATAAATATACGAAATACAGATTTATTATTTTGATTGTTCTTCGTCCTTGGACAACTTTTTATTACAAATTATAGAGTGTTGTTTGATAACAACATGGTTATCATAGAAAATACTCGCTGTATTTACGAGTTTTTGTTAAAAACTAAACCGATTACCTACTAGGATTACGAATTATGAGAAAAATGATTAATTCTTGGACATAATTATACTATGCAAAAGTTCAAAACCGGTACAAATCGGTGTCCCAAGAAACTTTGCAGGGACATAAGTTCTTAAACCGGTAATGTCCCAAGAAATCCGGAATGAATATTCACTCTACTTTAAACACCTAGAGTACTATATTTACACTATAATTAGGTATAATATATATAAACTATATATATTTTATGAAATTTTTTTCTGAGATTGTTGTATTTTTATCTTTTGTGAACAATATAAAAATTTAAATATTTGCCCAATCTGTACTATTAGCGAATAATATATACCTGCTTTAAGTATGCAAAAACAAATCATTGCAAACAAAAAACAATAATCCTGGGCGAAGTTCAACGTGTTTTGAAATTCCATCATTTTTATTAAAATTTGGATTCAAAAAAACTACGTTAAACATTTTTGTTTTTACCACCAAGTACAACTTATGATGAACCTCGGTGTAAAATATTTAAACAGTTCGATTTGACCAAATAATTGTATCCATTAAAATAGTTAAAACCAAACAAAACCTCAAAAAACTAGAAAATGCCAAATACATATAAATAACTCAACAAAATTTGTTGACAATTATATTGCGTCTATAAAAGGCAAACGTTTGTGTTATGGTAAAACTTCCAGTGCTCTATAATTATTTATCATCGAATTACAACAAAACAAAATTAAAAATAATAAAACCGTTAATGCCATAAGCTTTCCCTTTTTTTCCCAATTACTATGAAAACCGCTTGGAAAATTAAAAAAACTACCTCCCCAAAGCACCAATTAAATCCAAATTGCGACAAAAAAAACAACTCTTATCATTTTATGATTGAAACAGGATTACTTGTAAAAAAGTTTCTCACACACAAAAAAAATCTTAGTAAAACCAATACATTCATTGCTCTGCTCAATATCTAAAAATATATTTTAAACGTGTATTATACTGTCGTTTTTCAATTATGATAAGTAGAAACTCGTCGAATAATAAACTAAATAAAAATAAAAATAAATAATTAATATTCTTACAGTACTGTAAAATATAATTTTGGGACGACCTATGATTATTATTAATAATAGTCTATTTAGTATAGACTCTATACATATCGTATACGGTTGTAGGCAGGTGCATAATATTATAATGATTACGCTGTAATACATTGACAATACGGGTGAACGAAAAAGAAAAAACATTATTATAGGTGCTAAGTAGTTGTTGTAATTGTATACCTATATTGTACTCGTATACATAGAAATATAATATTACCATTCAAATTATATAATTTTTAAAACTAATACAATTTCACAGAGAAATATGTATAAATATGTGTAATAGAATTATTTGTGTAATTTAATCACTCTATCAAAGGTCAATATAATATTATAAGTGTATAAGAAGCAAAAGGAAATTATTGCAATCAACTATAATTCTACTGTACTTACTGCAGTACTTCTGATTTTACTACTGTAACTACTTCTTCCATAGGTGTGCACACAGAGTGTACCAGGTATGCCATGGCACACCCCGTGTGACACAGGCCGTGTTCTTGGGTTGTAAATGAAATTGACTCATTCTGGGTTTTATTTAATTAAATGCTAACCCATTTGACATAAAAAATTGTGATTTTTAAAACAAATCAACAGGCAACCACTAACTGTGATATTATTTATCATTGTCTTGGGCTTATCATAACTATGATGTTATCAAGTTTTTTTTTGAATTTATAACGATGTTATAACTTATTACTGAAGATATGTTGAGATAAATAATAATACAATATATTTTCATGAAACACTGTTATGTATATAGATAGTATGCTATATAAGTGAACAATATAATTTTTAATGAATTGATATTTTGTATTTATTATCTTCTTTGTTTTGGCACACGTAACCCTGCGAAAAAAATCCTGCGCACGCCTATGGCTTCTGCTATTGTTAATGTACTACCTACTATAGGTCCTAAGTACTTTTTAAATATTTTTTTTACCTAAATTTGTCCTATATACGTTTAAATTTCAAATTTGAAATAGAGATCGTAAAAACCACCTACTGTTTTTCTATTTAGGTGAATATAATTTTTGGCTAAGCTAAAATATGTGATTAGTTTAATTATATTATGAAGAAAAGGAAGAAAA